TGTAGCATCGCCCAGCTGAGAGCTATAGAGCCCTTCCTGTTCTCCAATCACTTCCACTCCCTTCCTCCTAAGTGACAACAAATCTGACTGTTTTCCTCATCGTTCTGGTGGTTTTCAAAAAAAAAAATTATATATATGTATCTAAATATATATATATATATTTGCCAGTTAAATTAACAGATCCCTAAGTCCTATGGTTTCATTTGCCTGTGTTTGAGCTGTATAAATGGACTTATGCCATATTATATTTTTGCGTCCAGCTTCTTTGCGCAGCATTGTGAGGTTAACCCCAGGTAGCGCAATAGTGACATTGCTGTATAGAATTCCACAGTATAAATATATCACCATTTATTTAGCCTTTCTACTGTTGATGGACATTTGGGTGGTTTTCCAGTATGACTATTACAGATAATACTGCTATAAACAATTATGTACATGTCTTTTGGTGCACTTATGTGCATTTCAGTTGGGTGTATATGTAGGTGTGGATAATGTTACATTTTTCATTAATTTTTTATAATCTGAGGTTTAGGCAAAGATTTTCCTTTTCTTTCTTTTCTTTTCTTTTCTTTTCTTTTCTCTTCTTTTCTTTTCTTTTCTTTCCTTGTCTATGGATGTCCAATTGCTTGCTCCAGCATCATTTGTTGAAAAAATAGGACAGGTGTTTTTTATGTTCCAGCCAAAGTGATCCTCCTAAACTAAAAATCAGACCATGCCATTCTTCCGTTAAAATTCTTCAATGGCGGGCGCCTGGGTGGCTCAGTTGGTTGAGCGACTGCCTTCGGCTCAGGTCATGATCCTGGAGTCCGAGGATCGAGTCCCGCATCGGGCTCCCTGCTCGGCAGGGAGTCTGCTTCTCCCTCTGACCCTCCTGCCTCTCATGCTCTCTGTCTCTCATTCTCTCTCTCTCAAATAAATAAATAAAATCTTAAAAAAAAAAAAATTCTTCAATGGCTTGTCGCTGCACTAAGAGAACACCTAGCTCTCCAGCTTCATCCTGGGCCAACTTTCACCTACCTCCCACTATATCCCAGGCAGCTTTTCTTCCTTTCAGTCCCCTAAACAATCTAATTGCTTTTGCGCTCGCCTTTCCTTCTGCTTGGAGGGCTCTTTCCTTGGTTCTAGGCGAGACCGGCTCCTTCTATTCCCTGAAGCCTCAGTTTAAAATCATCTCCTCAGATAAACTTCTCTGACTACCCTGTGAGAGTAGAACCTTCTACAAAACTGCCCATCATTCTCTGTCACAGCCGCCTGTATATGCCCTCCACAGGCTTGATCAACATTTGCAAGTGCTTTCATTATTTATTGTCTACCTTCCCCAGCAGACAGTAAACCCTTAAAGGGCCCAAGCTGTTGATCTTGCCCATGTTGGTTCCCCAGTATGTAGCCTGGTGGTTGGCATACAGTAGCTGCATCAAAAGTATCAGTTAAGGGGCACCTTGCTGGTCAGTCAGTAGAGCATGTGACTCTTGATCTTGAGGTTGTGAGTTCAAGCCCCATATTGGGTGTAGAGATTACTTTAAAAAATATATTAGTTAAATGTTGTCATTAGGCTAGAGCTTGTTATGACATGTCCATTTTTGTCCCCAAATTAAAAAGAATTTCCTGAAAACTAGAGCTGTGTGAGAAGAAACAGGCTGCTTGACATATCTGAAGTCCTCCCCCTGGAACGGGGTGACACAGAGGCATTTCCACATCTTGAGAAGCCTGACAAACCTTCAGAATGCCTGAGCAGCATCCCAGGGACATGTGGAGGTGACAGGTTGGATATATGGATGTAACAAGATGAAATGGTGAAATTTATTTTTCTTTCTCTTCCCAAAATATTCCTACCATTCTTCTAGCTAATCAGTAGATCCACATGGCTTCAAAGAGAATGCAAATGTAACAGCAGCAGAAAAGAGGAAAAAAAATATTAATATTCTTTTTTTTTTCCCCTTCAAACTAGGCTCTTGAAAGCCAGAAGGAGAGGCCTTGACTGGAGCAGAAGTTGGGAGTTTATGCCATAAAAAAAGGTGACAATGCAGATATCCCTTTGGACACAACCAGCCCAGAGCCAAATAGATTTTGCAGTTCTTTTGCCTAAACCAGGGATTCCAGACCATTTGTACGCTGGAAGAATTAGCCAATCCAAGTTGGCAGCTGTTTCCATGACAACTGACTGGTTTGCAAGACTTTGAGATTAACAATTCCATTTCACAGGCAATGACATTAAGCTTGTGAAGTTCAGATGCTTCTAGGGATAATCTCTGGAGATACTTTTCTGGTTATAAGATGGGGAACAGGATGGTTATAAGTCTTTACCCAAGGACCTCATTCTTGTGAATATTTTCTGCCTCATGTTACACCTGTGTCAATACCCTCATCTCCCTAGAGTTTCTTTTCACAAGCACTGGTTAATTAAGAAGCTCTCAGTGTTGGCTTTAGGCAGGGTTTTATTAGCCAGTAAGAACAGAAAATAGAGAATTGTAAAAATGTAAAACTTAATTAAAAGTGTGGAAAATTCTAGATTTTGGGGCTCCTGGATGGCTCAGTCGGTTAGGTGTCCAATTCTTGATTTCCGCTCAGGTCATGATCTTAGGATGGTGAGACCCAGCCCCACATTGGGCTCTGTGCTCAGCGGGGAGAGTCTGTTTGGGATTCTGTCTCCCTCTCCCTTTGCCCTCCCCCCACGCTCACACTCTCTCTCTAAAATAAATAAATAAATCTTTACCAAAAAAAGAATATTATAGATTTTTTTAAAAAAGATGACGAGGTTTATATTATGCCTCCACAAACAAAGTTAGCATGCAAATAGAGGGAAGGTGCGATGAGACCATCTATGCTTAGGAGAGGATGCCCAAATGAGAAGGCCCTGGAGGTGGAGGGGTGTGTGTGTGTGTGTGTGTGTGTGTGTGTGTGTGTGTGTGTTGGAAGAGATTTTTGAGCACTTTTGTTAAAGAGGAAGTCTAAGCTCAACATGGGTTCAAATTCTGATCCTACCATTTATTAGCTCTCTGGCTTTCGGCAAATGACTTAACCTCTCTGTGCCATAGTGTCCTCATTTGAAAAATGGGGTTTCTAAACTGAGGGTTGCTAGAGGGGAGGTGGGGGGGCATTAAGGAGGGCACATGATGTAATGAGCACTGGGGGTTATATGCAACTGATGAATCACTGAACTTTACCTCTGAAACAAATAATACACTTTATGTTAAATAATTCATTTTAAATTAAAAAAAAGAAAAATGGGGTTTATGATCATAATAACCTACAAAATAGTATTTTTTTTAAATTTTATTTTATTATGTTATATTAGTCACCATACAATACATCACCAATTTTCGATGCAGTGATCCATGATTCACTGTTTTCATATAACACCCAGTGCTCCATGGAGTACATGCCCTCCTTAATACCCATCATCAGGCTAACCCATCTCCCCACCCCTCTCCCCTCTAAAACCCTCAGTTTGTTTCTCAGAGTCCATAGTCTCTCATGGTTCATCTCTCCTTCTGATTCGCCCCCCCTTTCATTTTTCCTTTCCTTCTCCTAATGTCCTCCGTGCTATTCCTTATGTTCCACAAATAAGTGAAACCATATGATAATTGACTTTCTCTGCTTGACTGATTTCACTTAGCATAATCTCCTCCAGCCCCATTCATGTTGATGTAAAAGTTGGGTATTCATCCTTTCAGATGGCTGAGTAATATTCCATTGTATATATGGACCACATCTTCTTTATCCATTCATCTGTTGAAGGGCATCTTGGCTCTTTCCACAGTTTGGCTATTGCGGACACTGCTGCTATGAACATTGGGGTGCATGTGGCCCTTCTTTTCACTACATCTGTGTCTTTGGGGTAAACACCCAGTAGTGCAATTGCTGGGTCATAGGGTAGATCTATTTTTAATTTTTTGAGGCACTTCCACCCTGTTTTCCAAAGTGGCTGTACCAACTTGCATTCCCACCAACAGTGTAAGAGGGTTCCTCTTTCTCCACAACCTCTCCAACATTTGTTGTTTCTTTCCCTGTCCATTTTTGCCATTCTAACTGGTGTAAGGTGGTATCTCAATGTGGTTTTGATTTGAATTTCCCTGATGGCTAATGATGATGAACATTTTTTCATGTGTCTGTTAGCCATTTGTATGTCTTCTTTCGACAAGTGTCTGTTCATGTCTTCTGCTCATTTTTTGACTTGATTATTTGTTTTTTGGGTCTATAAAGAACTTTGAGAAGTTCTTTATAGATCTTGGATACCAGGCCTTTATCTGTAGTGTCCAAAATAGTATTTTTTGTACTATGTTGTATGCATGTGTGTGTGTGTGTGTGTGTGTGTGTGTGTGTTCTTAGGGCATTTCTTCCTCCTTCCCACCCCATAGAGTCCAAGCTCCTCCTGAGCAGGAGGTCATTCTATGACTTAATTGTCTTTGCGCCTCTTGTATAACTACTATAGTCCATCCTATGTAGTGGGCATTCAATACACACCCGGCAAATGGTAGGTGCCCTCCCAATGATGCTCTAGAAATAGACGAACAAATGTTGACCTGAGTGTGGTAATTACAAGAGTTAGCAAAATTTCCAAATATCTGTTTTTCTTCGTAGCCAAAAATGATTGTTACTCTAGGCTAATACATTTTTAGAGTGTTTCAAGGCCAAATAAATCTGTAATAAAAATTTATATAATAATCATTACACATTTTGACAACAGTGTTTATAATTGGGGGAGAATTTCAGCCTTAAGTACATGCATGGATAAATACTCTTTTTAACCGAAGTTGTCCCTCTGAAAGGCTGACAGTGGCTCTAAAAATCAGTTTGTCCTTTTTTGAGCTTCTTCCTTTCATTTGTCTTCAAGGCGTCCCCATTTGATAGTAAGATGGGATCGCTGAAACTGGAAAAGCCAGGCGGGGGGCGGGAAAAAGCAAGAACGACGAATACGGCTTGTTGTGTCCTTCGCGCCACCCCGTAGTTTGCAGCCGCTCAGGGGCGGTGCGCGCGGTTTTGAAAACGGGGAGGGTCCCGTCACAACGACTGTTACTGAGTGTTTGTGTTGGCAGGTGGCGAGACGCTGAGGCAGCCCGGGTCGTGTTGAGGGCCACTCGGGATCAGTTTTCAAGACAGCCTTGGCCTGGACTTCAACACCCCGGCGCGGCTGCGGTAAGGGGAGCTTTTTGTGGACCCCTGACCGCGCGTGGGCCCGGGTTGGGGCGGAATCCTGCCCCCCGCCCCGCCCCGGAGCCGCGGCCTCTGCGTTTGCTCGGTGACAGCTCGGGACCTAGAGGGAAAGGTGAAGACGTTGGGACTGTGGCATTCAACTGGGAATTAATTTAGAAAAGTGTTTGCGACCCAAACCCGAATGCGCATCTGAATCGCAGGGTAGGGTGGGGATTTCAAGAAAGAAATTGCCCTTTTCTCGAAGTGAAGCCTAACAATCTACTTTTTTATGGAAGATCCGTAGGAGAAGACGATGGATCTAGCAGGTTGCCGTTATTTTACAATTGGTTTTACAGACAGACGCCCTGAGGCCCAGGTCTCTGCTTGAGGCGAGACCCCAGCGTTTAGGGACGTCGGAGCACCAGCTTGTGCTTGGTGGAAACGGTGGTTTCTTATCGCCGCCCAGTGAGTCTCAGTTCCAGCTCTTTGGCGCGCCTGGAATTGGTGAAGGATTTCTGGTGGGAACGGAGAGGGTGGGGCTTGAGAAAGAGGAGGTATGAAGCACAGTTCCCGCCTTTGAGCTTCTCACCTCGTGTTGCTTCCAGTTTTCAAGGGAGGTGGTTGAGCAGTTGGAAGAAGCATTTTAACAACCAGCCCTCTGTAAGCTCCTGGATGGGGGGATAAACAGTTTGTGCTTCTACCTCCAGGAAGCCGTGGGGTGTAAAGTGTACAGGATCTTAGAAATAATACGATCAGAACTTTGCCATTCTTTTTCAGGCTACTTTCCCCCTCCATTTCCTTTTCTCATTATCGTTACCAATTCTCTCATTCTGTTTTTTTTTCCTTTCTTTTTTTTTTTGCTGCCTGTCTATACACTTCAGCTCTGCCCAGTAGTATCCATGTATTTGTTTAGCCCTAGGGTGGCTTAGGGTCCAAATGTTATTGGTATCTGATTCAATGGATCTTTTGATTAACTTGCTGAGTTCTGTTAATTTTTAAATACTGCTTCTTAAACAGTACTTGATTTAAAAAAAAAAATCTCCTAAATACTCCACAATGAAATTTGTCCACAGTCATAATACTTTCATTTCTAATGTATCTTCATGTAAGATATTCACAATTTTATGCTGTTACCTTCATAAGAACGTTGTGATTTAGATTACTGTAGTTATTTAGCAGTTTAAATATATAGAATGAGATAGATCTATATGTATATAGATTACATATATAAAATCTGAGAGTTTGGGCCAGTGGCCAGAAGCCATCTCTCAGTAGACTGAGGCCTAAACTGTTTTGTCATGAAAAAAGGTGCCTCAGACAACTGTGAGATGGAGAGGGTATAGTCTGTTTAGTTGCAAGTAGGTTGTAATGGGAAGTGGGACTGAGTTCTAGAGTGTTCTAGAATGTAATATTAAAAGACTTGTTTAAACTTAGATGTTTTTAGTTGGAGGAAGATTTTTTTTTAACACAGGCTGCTTCTGAATATCAGATCCTCTTTATGCTGAAGGGAAGGGCAGTGAGACTTATAAGGCAGTAAAATTTCCAGGACACCCCACTTTTTGGGATTTTTTTGCATCCTAGTTTTCGGGCTCCTTGTCAGTTTACTCTGTCCTTCATTTCTCATGTTGGGATCCCTCAGAGGTCTGTGTTTCCTATCTTTACTTATTCCTTAGGTGATCTTATCCAGTCTTTGGCTTTAATACCATTTACATGCTGATATGCCACAAATTTGTACCTTCAGATTGGATTCCAGACCTATATCCAGCTGCCTATTTCACATTTTTATTTGGATGTCTAATCAGACTTCAAAATTGACTTCCTGATCTGAGTAATGGCATCTCTATTGTTTCAGTTGCTCAGTCTGAAAACTTGGAGCTATCCTTGACTTTTCTCTCATTCCTAACAAAAATCCAAACATTAGGAAATCTTATTGGTTCCGGATTCATAATACATCCAGAACCTGACCATTTGTCACCATCTCTAACTGCTACCATCCTGCCATCCAAGCCACCATATCTCTCCTGGATTATTTCAATATTGTGCCTATCCTTGTTCCCCTTCAGTTAATAAACACAAACGAGAGTGATTCTGCTGGAACATAACATGGAGTATATCACTCCTCCTTGTAAAATCCTCCAATAGCTTCCCCTTTCTCAGCAAGAGCTGAAATCCTTACTGTGACTAAAGCTCTATGAATAAAAGCTGAGGTCTTTATGGCTTCAGTGCTCTACCTGATTTGCTATCCTTCATCCCCAAACTCTGTGACTTCATTTCCTTCTCCCTTTTGCTAGCCCTGCACTCTTCACTTTCCCTTGAAAATGTTCTGCCTCAGGGCCTTTGTATTTACTACTTTTGTCCTGCAGACTTCCCCTAGATATTTGCATGGTCTAGCTCCCTTACTTCCTTCAAATGACATCTCAAGGAGACCTCCCCTTGACCACCCCAACTCAAACTTCAAGCCCCTTCCCAGCACTCGGTCTCACTTCACTGGTGATTCACCAGTGATTCACGTGCCTATATATCATTATCTTCTGTATTTATCTTCTTGTTTGTTTGGGTCTTGTTCACTGCTGGGGCTCCGGTGCCTAGAACAGTGCCTAACACATGGTACATGCTCAGTAAGTATGTGTTGAGTGAGTGAATGAAGAGTAGCTTCCCATAGGTAGATAGGAGTCTTAGAAGCTCATTGAGGTGCTCCTTCACAACTTCTTGTGAGGGTAGATGAATGAAGATGGAAGAAGGGCAGTCAGAACCACATGGGGAAATTATTTCCAAAGTAGAAGTAGCACCTCCAACCCACTCTGTTAAAACAGTTTATCCTTCCCGAAAGGCCTGAAACGTGTTCCTGAAAAATGTGTTCCTTCCTTTTAGTTAAATGTTTCACTTGATAAAATTAGTGTGTTTTTGCATGAAGAGGAGGTCTTTGGTGTTCAAAATTCAGGCAAATCTGAAAACAGTGGTGATTGTGGCTACATTTAAAAAGAAACAGACTTCTCATTAATAGGCAATTAAAGGTAGGCCTTTGAGGTGATTTTTCTTGGCAGTTTTTAAAAATGCTATTTATTAAGAGCTCTATACAAAATTTAAGCATATGTTCTCTCTGCCTGCCAATTTTTAATTTTTTTTTTTTAATTCCAGTGTAGTTAGCATACAGTGTTATATTCGTTTCAGGTGTACAATATAGTGATTCAACAGTTCTGTATATTCCTCAGTGCTCATCATGATAAGTGTACTCTTAATCCTCATCACCTATTTCACCCATCCCCCCATCCACTTCCCCTCTGGTAACCATTTGTTTGTTCTCTGTAGTTAAGAGTCTGTTTCATGGATGGAACTGGAGGGTATTATGTTGAGCAAAATAAGTCAAACAGAGAAAGACATGTATCATATGACCTCACTGATATGAGGAATTCTTAAT